TGTGTGTGTGTGTGTGTGTGTGTGTGTGTGTGTGTGTGTGTGTGTGTACTGTACCATGTGTAGAGTATGTACTTTCCTCTGTTTGCCACCCTTTCATCATTCCTGCTGTGAGGAGCTGTCTATAAACTGGTGTGTTGACACATAACTATCCCTTCTCTTTACTTTTTCTGCTGTGGGGGTAGAAGATACTTCCTGTGCTATCGGAGAAGAGAACCACTGCCATGTTGTTCTGCCACAGCCACCAAGCTTAATTGGCATCTTTAAAACATGCCTGGCAGAGGCTCGTCTCGGGGCGAATTGCCTTTTTGTGCAGCGAGACTTCGGCACATTTGATAAAAGTCTCGGTCCAGAAACCCAGCTTGGTTGCGTGTTGTTGCCAGAGTGCCCATGTAGACACACAGATGGTAGAGAACCTTTTAATTAATGTGAACACACACGCTTGTATCACATCTTTCGGCTTTTATTGACTGTATTTTTCATTTAAACCCTTATCTGTACCAAAACATGAACTTCTGTACTATAACTGACCAGTAATGCTTCTACAACATGATTCGTTTTAAAGTGCCGCCGGCCTTTTTTAGGTTCAGCTCATGAGCGGTGTCGCAACATTTTGCCTTCTCATCTACCTCAAAGTGACTTTCTCCACAGAGATGTAGGCTTTAGAGGCGATGGTGGTACCTTGGATGAACACGTTACATTTTTAATGAAACTTGAAAGCTAGAGATGACTATCCCTCCTGCAGCAATAATGATTTGTCTCCCACCGCTCCGCTTTTTAAAAAGTAAGTAATGCTTATGCAACCTTTCCCTGAGCCTTTCCAGGCTGCCACGTTTCTCTCTGTGTTTCAGTCAGGCTGAAATATTTTTTGGCGACCAAAATAATTAACTTTAATGACCTGAAAACACTGAAAGTTTAAAAGTTGTAAGAAGAAGACACAAACAACTCCCGGGCTGGACAGCGCAGTGGTAGCAACCTGTCAATCACAAGGTAGCCCCGCCCTAAAGCATACTCTGCTTTATGGTCTATTTTACTCTAAATGCAACCATGATTTACTAAATGAACATCATGCTGTAATGAAGAAGATTTAAAACTAGCGATTGAGACCATAAGCTCATGTTTACAATGTTTACTGAGGTGAGAAGTAGAGTCATTTTCTCATTGACTTCTATACAATTGGACTTCTTTTTGCAACCAGAGGAGTCGCCCCCTGCTGGCCATTAGAAGAGTACCTTTTATTATTATAAGTTTAAGGCACTTCTACATTGGATTCACTTTCAGACCCGGAGGTTGCCACCTGGTTACATTGCTGTGTTAGAGTAGATGCTAGGACCGTCGGCGTATTGCAATACCTCGCTAATGACAAGCCAACCGCCGGGAATGTTCATGTGACGAGGCGCTGAGCGTTTGTTTCTTTGTAAATGTAAAACTTTGGGTAAAATGCTGTGCTGTCAACTTTTCCCCAGCCGTCCAATCACAATGGAGGAGGGGCGGGACAAATATCACAAAGACCAATCGCCGCATCCTACACGGAGGCTACTAAGTGCTGAATAACAACACTGCGCCTCATTGCCCTTGAGTGTTCTGCCTTCCAATGATAAAAAAAGTATTTAATTCGTTTTAAAACTGTCATATTTGTAATTTAAAAAGTGACAATTTACTTTATAATGGCGCAATAATACAGTGATGAGCCAATGATTGTCACCGCAGGGGGAATTCCTTCATGGCGACAGCCTCAGTGGTAACCCTCCCTGTTGACTTACTCTGTTTCAGTCCTCACCTCTCTTAATCTGGAAGACTGACCTTCACGATTACTTAGCTGCTCCACACTTTTCACTGTCACCAACCCTAATTAGTGCGAGCTAATGTAGCTCTAATTGCCTCATACATCTCGGCAAACACTGGCAAGGAGAAGCAAACTATTCAGACACATCTATTATAAGGCTTATGTATATCTGTACACCGCAGCCTTCCTGCTAATGAGCAAATTGTCCAAACATGTTCAATCTCTGTTATCAACGCTTGTGTTCGTTAGCTTTTTCATTCTAATAGATGATGTGCGTGAGCTGCACAGTTCAGTTTGTATGAGGCATCCGTCTCGGCCTGTCACTTCTTTTCTCCCTCATGGCACATGTCGGTGTCCTTAATGAGAAAAAATGCATTCATTGTCCTACTGTGTGTCTTGAGTTCATGATTGTTCATTGCCAGGCACTAGTTTTGGACGATATTTACTCCTTCTGCTGAATATTACATGCACTGTGCTTGCTTTGCAACCCGGTCGCTGCACAATTAGCTTCCAATAGTGTTTGTGAGGGCGGGCTGAGAACTGATGACTGTGGCCTTGTAGCCCAGGTAGGAGGGTTTGATTACTCATTATGTGTTCAGACTCTTTCACTCCTTTTTAAAAAGTTTCGTGTTTAAGTCAGTGGGTTGCCAATAGGTGGCGTTATGGCCTAATTTTGGATGGTTGAGGGTGTGTCTTGGGATTGTTTAACACAATTCCATATTTGTTTTTTTTGTCTCTTCACCATTTGCAATGTCTTACACGTCTTCTGAATAGCACTGAATCAGTTTTTCTCTTATTCATGCAATGGGATGTTAAAAGACACAAGACGGACACAGAATGAACTGTGGAACTACTGGATGAGCGTCCTTTTGTCTCTGTAATGAGCAGCACATTCACCTCTAACTTTGTAGCAAGATATGAAACATTTCAGCATCATTCACTCTTGACTTTGACGTTTAATAATTGTTTTTCTTGTAATTAATACATGAGGTCTAGAACTTAGCCCTCACTGAGCATACATGAGGATGTAACATTTTTTAGATACTCTTTCTGGTCACACTGGGGATCCTGTTTTACACACCAAAATTAAAAAACTAAAACCCTGATGACGTCATAATGGTGTAATTAGGGTTAATTCAGCTTGGGGTTACGAGACTAGAAACCCTGCGCTATAAATTGGGTGCATGGAGATGCGGTGTTTACCAGGCAGGGAGAGTCCAATGACACTATTGAGTTGCATTATGGGACTGTTTACACTCTAATCTGTAAGACCCTGTTTGTATGGTCCTTCAGCGATTCATTCAATATCCATTAACCCTCCGTGTTCTTCAGCTTTTCTTACTTATCCACTAAAAGCAGTGGCGGACAACACTCCTAGCAGGGGGTCATACTTGATGCCATGAGCAAGGAACGTGTTCTTTAGATAATTACGATTTCACCCCCTGATGCGAGTCAAGTTGGTAAAACAAAGGAGAGGAGAGAACAGTAAAACAACTACAATGCAGACGAAGAGAACAGAGACTTCATTGGAAGAAGTAGGAGCTATTGAGAAAGACATTGAATGGAATGAAACTGAGAAAGCGAGATGCTCTTTTAAACGGCTCTGGCTATATAGAGCTGTAGATACAGACATCAGTGATTGGTATTGCAGTGGTCAAACTGTTTTTGTGGGGTGACATTTGAGAAGAACATCAAAATGTCTTTTACTTTTTTTTTTTTTTATGTTCCAATTCTCATGTTCCCCCCCTCTCTCTCTTTCTTTGTAGGTTTCTAAAAAGGTCGCCGATCTTATTCTGGAGAAACAGCCGGCTTATGTCAAGGTAAGCTTCCAGTGTAAACGGACGACCACATCAAACAACCCTTTGTCTTTTCTCATATTATAAAAGTGTTTCCAAAACGTATCAGTTATGTTTACCTTTTGATTTTGGGGCTTGAGATTTTTCAAAATCCGAGTGGTTTTCTCGTTTCTGTCACTTTGGATTGCACTTGAATGCTCTTCCTCAACGGCCGGATGTGTGTCTCGGTGAATTGAAATGAACGCTGCAAGAAATGAATAAATTGTGAGAATGGAATGTGGAAGTATATTGAGAGCAGAGGTTGCCTGAACCAGTCATTGAATTTTGATAGAAAATATAATTTTGACGGACTGCATGTCTGTGTCCACTAAGGGTTGTTGAGTAGTTTCCGTGCAGAGAGGAGGGCATGCTGCAGGATTCCCTCAGTTAAGTGCTTGCAGGTTCGGGAAATCCCTTGTTCACAAAGTCTGGTAATTCCAGTCTCCAGTGTGGCAGCAGAGCTTCAGCCTTCAGAGCAAAATTAAAGCGGCCATGAGAAGTCCTCTGTCCGAGGCAAAAACTAATGATCATCGCCTCTGGAGCGATCTCCATCGATGCGTTTGATGACACAGAAGCGTGCACCCAGTCTAAGTCAATGCGGAGCAGGAGGACGGTTTGAGTTCAGGCTGGGCTACAGCACGTCAATTCAGTTCAATTATTTCAAATGGTTTGTTCATATATTGATTGGCAAAATTGTGTATGCCTAAAAGTGCGTGTGAGTGTGTTTGTGTGTGGATAGATTGAAGTAGTTGGTCTTTTGATTTATCTGATTTAGCAATCAAACTTCAGAAGTCCCATCAGATGCATCGTTATTGAAGTTTGGTACGTCAAATTTGTGGTTAGTCAGTGAAGCTTTGATCCCAGCAGACGACTGACCGCTTTAACAACTTTGGTACGTCGTGAAATTGCGGTGAAATTACCATCATTGCTGAGCCTTCTGAAGGTCAGTCTATGAATAGCAAATTGATCATCATTTCCGTGACTCTGCAGAGTCAAAATGACAGCCGAGCTTATTAGCAGACGGTGCCGGGGATTTCGGGGGCATTTCCATTCACCCATCTCCGCCCTCATTCACTCGGCCTATAGATGCCCTGTGGAGTTCAGAGGGGACTTCAGTTTCTGCATCAATGTCACAATGAGAAGGACGGCGGAGCTTTACTACTGTTAAACTAGTGTTTATGTAGTTTAATGCCTGGCAAATGTGCTTCGCCCTGCAGTCTCTGAGGCTCCCCTCACTGCTCTGTGTACCTTCTTCTATACGAGGCTTCGTCGGTTTCTCCAAATTGTCCTCTGTGATATTTCATCAAACATGTACACAGAAACGCACTCTGCTGCAGAAACACAGCCACGGGGCACAATGCCACTTCTCCCCAGTTGCTTGTGCGTAACACATCGGTGGACACACAAACTGTGCAAACACGTACAGCCATGCCTCAGCGCCTGAAATGATGTGAGCCACAGCTATGTAGTGAGTAACCTTTCTGTCACTGATCACTGTGGCTTCACACGCACTCCTAAAGGGTCAACAGTGCGATCCGGCTTCCTCTCCTGGAAGGTTACATGGAGGCCAGAGCCATTATCATTGATTGATTACGAATTGGTAGTGTATCTTCTTCAGGAGCCCACATTTAGCTCCTCATTTCTTTCATTCTTGTGCCTCTACATTTTGAATGTGGTGTTCTGAAGTTACCACGTTTAACATTATTGTCCATGAGTTCAAAGCGTGATCCGGTTTAAATTGCAGGATCGATAAAAACATGGAGTGTGTCAATTTGAAATACCAGCCCTCTCTTATCTCTCTGGTTGAAAAGAGACAATTGAGTGGCCCAACTGCATGACCGTGACACATGCCAGGAAAGAAAGATTGCCTTCTTGGGTTCCAGGTTGTAATGAATTTTCACCAGGTAGCCCTGACAAGGTCATTCAACACCATTGTAAAGGGGCTTGGACCGGTATTCAATTATTTTCCACTGGAAACACTTATTTGCCACAGTTCCTGCCTGTGATTCTGTTCCCCAGTTGCCTAAAGCGATTTGTAATTTGGTGGTCATACCTGACAATTACATGGGGGGCCTGAAGGCCGCTTCATTGGGAGGCTAGAAATTGACAGGAAACAGGCTGGTTAATATGTCTAGGGGTCTCGCACCCTTTAGGTGACTATATGCAACTAAATGTGAACTCCAGCTGTGAGTCCCAAACAGCTGCAGCATCATTAGAATGTATAGGCGGGGTGGGTAACAGGGAGCCAGTGCATAGCCAATGTGCTTGAGGGTCGCAGGGAGGACCTCTTATGAATATATGAATAAAGAATAAAAAAAATCTCCCTTATGACGAAACATCTCCTCCTCTTTGACCTACACTCCCCCACACCAGTGCCTGTTTGTGGACTTTGTAGGAGTCTGATTGTGTAGTTCCCTGTATGTGTACAGTTCATATAGATCTACAGCGTACCTGCATTTATGGTTTGTCTTCACGTGAAGATTTATTCCACGCTTTTTAAGCTCTTCCCAGTCATGTGCACCAGCCCTTTAAACCTCTTTTATCTCCTAAAACGTGACTGAACAATTGTCAGTGTCCACCTCTGTGCACAGTTGCTGTTTCCCCCGTTGCACAGTCGGAGGTGCTGTAGTCAGGTTAACTAGCTTATAGATGGCTCAGAGCAGTGGTACACAACAAATTGGAGCCTCCGACTACACAGTGAGCACTCAGCATGATCAGCGCGTGTGTCTGAGTGTGTGATTCTGTTTGAAGCTGAGCGTTTGTATTCAAGCTGCTTCGGACTCTTCCTGTGTGGGTTTGTGCACATAACTGAATGCACGAGTGTTTCTACATTACATCATTGAAGAAGGGCTTCCACAACTACTGTGTGTACGGCACTGTGTGTTGATAATGGGCTTCATAACAAGGGGTAGAGAGTGAAGACCCACTGTGTGTTTGTCTGGTGAAGCGAAAGAATAGTTTCTGTTGGACACAGGAAATAAAAGGCTTCTTTTTTTGAACAGATTTGACGTATATTGTAACTAAACGGACTATTATTGACTGAATTAAAACCACCTAGCACTATGCACTGTAACAGCCCGGCTCCAAGACTGTGACAGAAAATCATCGAAAGGATGCAAACAAATGGATGGGAGTTATATATCAATGCAGTAGCGGATGAGTGAAAATGTCTCGCATGGGTGTAAAAACAAAGGAAAACGAAACAGAGACCACAATGCAGAAATGGTGAGAGGAAATCTTAACCTTCTATGCATGCCATGCCGCTGATAAGGGATGGACCAATCCGACGTCTGCGGACCCGACAACCATTCCTGGGCTTTGGGTATCGGTCGATACCCGACGCCCCGATCCGATACCAGCCGTACTCCTCACTGAGTGGAAGTGACTGGGATCATTCTTCTATGTGTAAAGCAACAACAGGCGTGACATTGCTTTGCTAACTTAGTGAAACAAAATGTAGCAAATAAATACATAGATATAAAGTCCCTCATTTATAATGGTATGAAATTCCCGACCCAGCTATTTGAGTCAGTTTTAGACCGATATCCATTAACGATGCATCTCTGCCGCTGATTAATCTCCAATCAGGTCTGCAGAGGGAACACACAGCACTGGTTTCAATCGTTGACTCATTTTGCATCACTTTCATGAGATAAGTGAAGTCAGGAATTTGGGATTCTGCTGTGAGAATGATGCCTGTACAGCTTGATCCCCTGTGGCTTTTTTTTTTTTTTTTTTTTTTAATGAGTCTGGCTTTTGTCAATTTCAAACTTTTTCTATGTCTAGACATAGTTTTAGAGTTCCAGTGGTGTGGGTGCTAAAGCGCCCCGTATTTGAATCGGTCTCTAAATTATTCATTTGCTTGACCCGGCGAGTCATTCCAGTCCAAGCCAGCTCCCACTGCTTAGAGAGCAAGAGCGCTCACTGAGGACAAAAATGATGTACTTTAGAGTTCAAAGGCCACTGTGGTACCTTCTTGTTTTAATAAACTGTTATGACCGATGCTTATTCAAGAACGGTTACTGTGTTCTAGATATGTGAAGGCTTTATGGACAGTTGCTCTTTGATGTTTGGGTAATATTTAATTTGCACGTCCGTACTTGCTTTCGCTTTCTTGACATGAGTGAGATAAAAAATATTGATATCACTGTCGGATATGTACACTAAATATGAAGCCACCGCCAGAAGCTGTTTAGCGTAGCTTAGCATACAAATTGGAGACTAGCCTGCAAATTTACCATACGTACATGAGACTGGTAACAATCTTCTCATCTGTTGCTCAAATGGGTCTATTCCTCAAAATGTTGAAATGTTCCTGAAACAAATTCATAGTTTACAATATTACAATGATAGAAGATCTATCCGTAATGTAAAGTAATTCACGCTCTGTTTGTTGATATCGCTGCCAATAAAGTTTTAGCTTTCGTGAAGCCAATTCTTGGAATTGGATGTTGTCTAACAGTCCTCATTTCTTGGGCCCCGAGCAGAAGACCAGTCGCATGGTGCGCGTCCCCTCAGAGAGAACCTGGGCTGTTGAATCAACCCATGTAAAACAGTTCTGAGGGCTTGTTTTAGTTGTAACACTGGAGATCATGAGGACAGATTGGTTTGAATGGGATCATTGATCCCGTACCCACAGCCGAAGTGCCACTTTGATGCTGTTGTTGTTATTTTTATTACTGTGGAAAATTAATTTTCCCAGACTGTATTCTGTGGGTAAAAAGGTTGTTTCATGGATGACAGTGTTAAGAGAACATTTTTGTGAACACGAGACCTTTTTTTTTTTTTTGCGGTGGGGTGATAGAGCACACATTAAGATAAAACACAAGCATGAAGCCACCTCAGGCTCGTCATCTGGCAGATCAAGAGAATAAAAAACCAGGAGAGGAAGAGAAAAGTCTTCAATACAGCAGCTATGTAATTCGTGGTGCGGTTCTCACCAGAGGTCACTATCGTGGAACATACAACATAATAACTGAACTCTCAGACCAGAGAGCCCATTGATCCTTTTCTAAATGTCAAAGCTCTGAAGAAAGGGAGCTTTTTCCCTGATTATCTGTGTTTTACCCTTAGGCAACGATGATGCCGTACCATAACGACATCATCTATAATATCTATCTTCACAAAATGCTCCCAGCGGGATGCATCTCAATGTAGAGTGCTCTCAAAGATGTGTGTTTGTGTGTGTGTGTGAGAGCCAATCTAACGATATCTCTGTGTCATATAGATTTGAGCCCTCAGCATTGTATTAAGGCGATGGGGCTGTTTCTAAGCACTAGATGGATATTTCAGCAGTTTTTGTTATAATTCCTTGGGATCTAACACAATAACTTTGAAATGTTCCAGGGTTTCCAGATAACAGTGTGCTGCCTTGTCTTGCGTACTGTCATTTTTACCACTAATTCCCTCCTTTTTCGCAGGAACTGGAGCGAGTGACTGCGTTACAAACCAACCTGCAGCTGGCAGCGGTCATTTGCACTAATGCAAGGAGGTAATGCTGTTCCACTACATACTAATCACTAAATGAAATGGCTGCTGAAATAGCCCATTCTAACCGTATCTGCATATTAAGTGCTTTTCCTCACAACCGGGATAACGTTCCTTCATCCTCGTCTGTTAAAATGGTCCAAATTACAAATGATTATTGTTTCCTTCAAATAAAGTAGGAATCAAAAAACATCCTGCTATACATGGCACTCTGTTATTTTTGTAAATTTGTATTAATGATTAATTCAGAATGCTCAGTTGCACATTTTGCCGAGCTTGAAATATAATAACCTGAAGCCATTCATACTAAGGATTTGTCCAAATATGCAATTTTTTGGTAAAATAGGCTGCTGGTGGAACCACCTCTTCAATAAGTGCAAATATGACTACAGTAAGAACACAAAGACCATATATGTTTGAGTGTGTACATTATAGTTCCAGATCATTCCCAGCGTGCTGAGCTCCAATAGTGTGTTATTAAAGCTCATCACTGTGTTGGACTTATAGATGGACAATAGTATGTATGCGTGTTGATGCTATGTTCTCCCTGTGCTGTGACTTCTCGTGTAAAGGCAACTGACCATGGCGAAGGAGGGATTCACAGAAGCCAGCTTGGGTCTATTGTCCAATCAGAGGAGGCGACAGCTGCTGACAGGCCTGCTTAAGTCTCTGAGGACCATCAAGACACTGGTACAGTTTACACACACAGCTGACTACAATATATTTAGTTTAAAATCCAGCCATGTGTAAAGGGAGGCCAGCTTTCTACGGTAATTAACCATAATAATTAAGTTATTTGATGCTGTATTCATGTCTTCCTTTTGCCTTTCTTCTTCTCACAGCAAAGAACAGATGTAAGACTCAGCGAGATGCTTGAGGTATTGTAATCCTTTCTACACGCACACATACACACGCACGCGCGCGCGCGCGCAGAGATATGTTTATAATTGACTTGAAAGGTCAAACATCAGTAGGAATTGTGCATTGAAAGCCAAACGCACAAACACGAGACGCTCCCTCAAATGCGTAACTATTGTGAAGGTCAGCTGTGGCACAGGGGAGGGATTCGACACTGGCTCCTATCGTAGGTTATCCACTGTGTATCTGCTGTAACAGCCATATTTAAGAAGATGAAAAAGAAGTCGCACATATCATTGTCGTAATCCAGAATGATCCAGTGTTTACTCCTGTTCTCCATACATTTAATTACTTCAATTCTCTGTTCCTGCAGGAGGAGGACTATCCAGGTGCAATCCAGCTCTGTCTGGAATGTCAAAAGGCTGCCAGCACCTTCAAACACTACAGCTGCATCAGGTACAGCATGCACACATTGATAGAGTGAGATTTTGCTGTATCCAAATGAAAGCAGGCATGGACTTTATTCTTCACAGTTGGATGGAAAGGTTTTTTTTATTTGAATCATTTGTTTTGATAGTGCCCAAACACCACATAATAAATCCTCTTCTCTCTCTCTCCTATGTAAGATAAGACTGTGATGTCAAAGTAAAGGCTCTCCTCCAGATTCTGTGCGTATGTGCACCTATGCAAGCGTGGCCGCATTGGATACCTGAGGGCCAATTATCTGTGTCCCTTTGATTTCCTGTGTAACTGTGCTCAATTTGTGGCAGTAGGTGGGTGCTGCAGTGGTCCCTTTGTGTGTATTGATTAAGGATTGATCACTGCTGGCTTTCTTCTCCTCTTCCTACGACACCACGTACAGAATCTGACAGAGTATTTCGTGAACAGCTGTGTGGGAATGAACGTCTTCAGCTGCTCCCAACACATGCCAGCCAAACACAACCACTCGGTGTTACTGCTGTCATTTTGGCTGTTTTGTCCCGCACCGCAGAGTGTCGGGTCTATTTACAGAAAAGAGCGCTGGCGTCACACAACGGTGAGCTCCGTGTCAACACGAGCTCCGTGTAAACTCACAGATACAGACGGACCTTTTGAAACACAACTGAGCATCTGCACCGCATCATTTGACCACTTCACCTGGCTGTGACAATCCAATAAGAAGAAGCACTTACATTTCTTTTGTGTCTTTGTATTCACACGCGGTCTGGATTTGTAATCAAACGTTTGTTGCAGATGAATAGAAATTTGATTGCCCTCTTCACTTTTGCTTTCCTTTGCAATATGCCAATACTGCCTCCTGGATGTAGCAGCTTTTTTTTTAATTGGTGCATTGATCACACATCTGTCCGGCTTTCGCATTAGCATGCACATTGTTACTTAAACTCTCTGCCCAACATTGCCAGAGCCCCTGACTGCAGCGTCGTCCTTCCCTAAGGATCTGGTGTCTGGTCTGCTGCACTGTAATTTAACCTTGCAGCTTGTGCTCTTCCATGCGCCGCTGAATGCTTTGTTACGTACCTGCCCTTCTTTTGTCCCCGTCCCCGACCCTTTTAAAAAGTCAATACGGTTTCCCCAAGAATGCATTTACACAGCGTCATGCTCCGTCTCCGTCTAAAGCGTCACTAGAGATCAAATTTTTTATTTTTTTTTACCAGATGTCATACAAATAGTCTAAGGGTCATTCTCAGTGAAACTCCTCCAAAACTCCACTTCGGCTAATTGCCGTCTTGGCATTGAGGCGGGCGGTTTGTTCAGGTGTTCTAAATGTATCCGCAGGACGGGCGGTTCAGCTGCAGCTTCAAGAGGAGCAAAGTGCAGGAAGAGGGGCAGAGGGCTGCTGTGTTTAATCTGCGCCGGCTGCCCAACACGTCGGTGCGAGCATAGAGTTATTCAGAGCCACGGCCGGCCTCCTCCTCTTCGTGGTTGTAGTGCATTTCCTTTTGGAGGCTGCACGATTGTGTGTCAGTGCAGACTTTTTAATAAGTTCTCCATGTGTACATGGGTAGTTGTGTGTCACTTTGATTTGTGTTTACTTGCAGCGCTTTATTGATCATGATAAAGTTGAACAGCCGGATTGTAAGACTCTTTCAAAGTTTGGTTTGTTACTTTGGTCTGAACGACAGGTTGTTTCTGGTTTTCTTTCCACTGACAGGTTTGGTTTCACACATACAAATTCAGCTGGACCACAGCACTTAAGCCTTTTTTATTTTGTCAATTTTTTGATTTTCTATTTGCCAACGTCACTTTTTCTTATTTACGATTTGTGGTCCGACGTTATCTGCTTTCAAAATGTTTGGATTGAATCGGATGGTCATGTAAGCTACTGGACTTAATAGTCAGTATAACAGACATACTAATCACAGCTTATTATTATATTGGGATAGCATGTATTTAAAAGTGGAGTTGGGATGAAGCACAAAACCGACTACTGTCACGTGAAGCCCACTCCACTCTACAGAAGTCAAACAAACAAAAGGTATAATGGAACCTAATGGATATGAAGTTGTTTCTCATGAGGCAGCGTCGGGTCGTCAACTGTTCTTGTAGTGTCCCATGTGACCTCGGAGCCCATAAGTCAGAACTGGAGAAAGGGCCAAAGCTACATATCTAAATATTACATCAAACCTTGCACTTAATGAAATCAATCGCTGCACATTCTTCTGTTCTGGTGTAATCAATTCTTCTAGTGCTCTTTCTAGAAATTCCTTCCAAAATCTTTTTTTCTGCTAAACTCTTAACTTCCCCCTAACCCTCATCTGCGTTCTCATCTGCGTAATTATGGTTGACGATGTCCCTTCCCGCCATCTTCCCCTCTTTGAAGCTCTTCCCCTGCCACCGTGATGCCTCTCCGCCTGCCTTGTAGCAGCGGCTGACATGACTGCAGCAAAGCATCCTCACAAAATCTGAGCATCATGCAGAACCTTTTGAAGCACAGGAGTCCACATTTTGCCAAATTGTGGCATGTCAGCAGTCCCTGTGTAGGGGCTTGCCTCACGGCCCCGTGGGCACCTATTGCCAGCGATAATAGAAAGCAGGTTTTTAAAAAAACACTCGTTTATTTCCACATAACTATTTCAATCCTCATGGTCCCTGCAGGGAACAGATTGTTAATTAGTTTTCGCTCCTCATCTGTTATTTATGCATTCTTTCTGATCATGGAAGGATGCCAGTATGCGGGGAGGAGCTTCATCTGCGCACACATGTGCACTCACTGGACAGTGTAATTTGGCCATCTATTCATGGGATAGAAAGAAAAACAGGAGGACTTCTAATATTGTCACCACCTGGGTTGACCTCTTGTGTTCTTCAAAAGCTCAGCGAGTTCCTAAAGACAAAATTGAGAAATACTCTTATCTGCTTCTCTGTTATATGAGAATATTAATACCGTCCACGTGTCTGTAAAGTCAATATAAAGCTAGACCTAGGAGACAACTAGCTTAGCTTAGCATAAAGACTTGAAACAGGGGAAAACGGCTAGCCTGGCTTTGTCTTAAGCACCTCTAAGCTCACAATTTACACCCTGTCTTGTCTGTTTTTATTCCCAACAAATGCCGGGCCAAGTCAGTGACTTCCTCGCTGGCCTAGCCAAGAAATAGTGACAGAACTTAACTCCCCGTAGAACCACAAATTGTTGCTTTTACATTTCTGTTTCTATGTGGATTTAACAAACAATATAACATATTCATTGTAATTAACAGCTGGTCTTCACATCACGGAAACCCCTGTTAGCAAAGTCTAAAATGGGATTGGAAAACCAACCAGAGCGCTCAATGCCACACACGTGGATCATTGGATGCTTGGTGTAATATAAGGCAAACCGACCATCTTCATCTCCTTTTAATGTGAGCGTTTTAGTCTGCTATTCTGTGATGGTGACTGTCTCCTAGCTGGCCAGAATGCGAACCTATAGCAGCAGGTGCGTTAGCCCCCTGAGCACCGGTTTCCTTTTCTCTCATATGCTCTTCCAATACTGTTCAGTTTGTAGTTCAGCTTTTGTTACTCTACCACACTGCAGCGTGGGAGTATAAAAGGAAGTTCTGTGATGAACAGGGCATTCGTCTTGTTGGAATCTGCTCCTCTGCTGTATCTCCTCAGTGTGGCTGCCAGGGCTGAAAGCCTTTGTTTATCACTCTCCTGGGCCTCACATATGGACATTCAGACGCCTTTCTTTAGTAGCCAGGACCTGACATTGATCCACTCAACCCTATGTAGTTGAGCCAACTTACTTACTTTGCGTGTTTTTTTTTTTTTTTGTTTTTTTTTTTTTTTTTTGTTTTTTTTCTTTTTTAGTATTGGCTTCCCATTGTGGTGTCCTAGTGGAATACGAATACTGGCAATCACTGAGCTTGTAGCTGAGAATGTCTCATCTTATCACGCTGTAGTGCATACCAACTCATTGGATTTAGCTATCGTGAGGTAGGAATAGAGATTGTGAGTAGCACTCACTCACTGGCCATATATTAGTTTCTCTTTATTTTGTTTAAACATTTGTGTGTCCTGTCTATCATACCGCTACAATGTCTCTCTCTCTCACACGCACAGGCAGATAAATAAAAACAGGCTAACAGTGCATCACATCTTGAAATGGCGTATGCTCATTTTGTTACCTGCAAACGACCTGTGGGACTCACTCTGCAGTCTCCTGTGTTTCTCTGCCCCCCCCCCCCCCCCCCACACCTCTCACTCCCCTCACTCAACGCCCAATTGAAGCTAAGACGCCTAATTAGCAATTTGTTGAGGACACTCTCCCTTGGGCGACTGCGGTCTCACAAGGCACAACGTAAATGCAGGCTGACCTGAAAAAGACCCCGAGCACAGCAGAGACGGAGGAAGGGAAGCGGAGGAACAGAGCATGATTATGAACGGGTGCAGTGCATGGGGGGAGTCACGAGGGAATTGAATTGATGTCCCAGGAACGGGCAAAATAGTCACGATTTCGGTTGCTACTTTGCAGCTTTTAAGTTGAAAGCATTTCCCAGGATGAGGCGAAATCCGAGTCAGTCCAAGGGTGTGTAGGCGTTTTGCATTCGTGATATTCTGGTACACACAGACACGCATCTTCCTAAAGTATCGGTTGGAAATTCATCCATCTCTTTTACTTTTTCCCTGTTTGTGTGAAGGAGGAGAATTATGAGAGACCGGGCTGCAGCTTTTTAATGACGTGGTTCAGCTTTACATGACTTTTAATTTGGGCTCCGATAAGAAACTACTGAGCTAATCAATTCAAAGAAGATCAGTTGATGGCTATTTTCATTATTAAATGTTAGAATATATCATTTGCTTGTGTTTCATATCATTGGAAATTGAGTATATTTGTTAAACTATCAAAAAACAAACACAGACATTTTTTTAAAAATTTGCAGATAGTCCAGTAACTTTGATTGGGTATTTTCCATTAATTTAGTAATTGGACTAAAACCATTAATATCTTAAGAATGAATTAATTGAAATATTTATATAAAGAAGTTACAAGTTATTTGACTCTGTATTCTTTTTCAGAATAGAGTTGCTAACTCTCAATAATCTCCTTCCCCCCTCCCTCACAGCGAACTCAATTCCAAACTACAAGACACTCTGGAGCAAATAGAGGTATGTGCCTTCCTGCTTTATCTCTAATTACGTTATTTGAGAGCGATATCGGTGAAGAGACTTTTAGCAGTGAATAAGATTGGGCTCTAACCTTGTACTTTTCCACAAGCCCTCATCTGAAAGAAGCAATTTATACTTCATTTTGACATTCTGATAGTTTGCCGTTCTGGGTCTGCCAAATATTGACACATTCAGAACGTCATTAATATCTGTGTGCGAGCACAATGAATTATATCAGTTTCATCTCTGGCTGTGTCGCGAAAAATGGTATGCAAAGCAATTTTCTCTGCACCGCTGCGCTTGAGTAGATTAATTACTGACGGTTTCGTCTGTACTCAAGAAACACGCGTGCATGCACACACACACACACACACACACACACACACACACACACACACACACACACACACACAGCCACGCAGCAAGGTGCACATTTGTTTTCCTGTCAGCATGAGTTTGTGAATAAGCAATGCGAAATCCTCTAAAATCACAAAGGTAAACACACACAAACACACATCAAGTAGGATTTTAGTGTTCAACACCATCTTAAGAATGCTAAGAGCCAGAAACACTATATACACTCTATAAATACACACATATACATACATATACACCATATACTGTGTGTATGCTTTACAGAATAGAGTTGTCAATGGTTGCTGGTCAGCCTAGTGTGTAATCTCTGTATTCATATGCAGTACCTGTTTCCGTTTGTTGCCCGAGTAGTATTGACCAATCATTCCCGAGCATTCTTTGGTTGAATGCAGGTAAACAGTCCGTGTGAAGAGCAAAAGAGGCGGAACACATTGGCAAAAATGCAATATCAGCACAGGCACATACCAATCGTCCGTAGCATGCTAACCGTCTCCAGGCCCTCCATAGAAGAGCAACCGCCCAGTCAGCCGAGAGAAGCCAGTTGTTCAATGAATAGAAAAAGGGACTCCTCTCTATGCATGATCAGACACAGTAGAAATCCAGACATCGTATTATCCGCTGTCATTTTTTGTTGCATCACATCAAGTTGACAATCAATCAAAATCATTTGCTAGCTCGTTTTCCTACTTCACATGCTGACATTATTGTTCAAAACTGCAATGGCAGGAACCCCAAAACATTTTCAAACTCTGCATTTAATCATCAAATGACCCATCATAGAGCATCGTTGAAATTCCATGTTGAAGTACATCTCGTGAAGCGTGAGAAGATGCGTTTGTGATGCAATGCGTTCGATCACTTATAGCATTTGTCAGCACTATATTCTTTGAGGTCGGCTTCTGGGTCAGGGTTGTTACACATCCCTGTACATCCAAACTTCCTGCTAACCTTGACTTACTTTCTTACCTCTCTTATTAACTCTTTGTCAAAGACGAACACACACACGCACACACACACTGGCATGTATACACCCACATCCACACCCAATTACCCTTGGCCTTGTGTGGTAGCTATACATCTATATAAATCCCTGGTCTTATCGTTGATAATCCCTCTCTTTTCTTTCCCTTTGTCATCTATCTATTTCTGGCTCCAGGAGCAGCTTGACGTCGCCCTGTCGAAGACTTGTAAGCACTTTGATGTTTCGCACTACACCAAGGTCCAACTGGCCTACACGCTGCTGGGCAAGACACAGGTCAGTGGTTTGACTCGTCTACGGGGGCACGGGGGGGATTGTGACTGGATGTGATGATATATAGACAATGTTATTTCCTTACTTCCTCGACCTGTTTCCACCATTTAGATTAGAACAGTATAAGACAGGCTGCTTAAACCATTGTAGAAAACATGAGAATGTAATTTGGGTTATTTAAGTTTCTCTTTGTTGTTGTTCCTTCTGGCCTCAGTGGAGTGTTTTCAGGGTTTTGTCGTTGGAGTAGAGAATATTTTAGGCCACGGGGCGTGCATGTCATCCTTTGTGATTACGTTATTCTCCGCTTGCTGTCAATCAGCTCACACCCACAGAAATCACCCACAAATAAGGAACAGAGTTCTTCAAAATAGTCCTTGGATAATATAAAACAAGCTCTCGGCTGTGATGATACAGTCACAACAACATGTTTGTACGTGACATTTTTTGTAGCTCATTTTAAGCTGTAAAACATTTATATTAAAAACAACAATAATCAAGATACTGTAGTTTCTGTTAAAAATGCCTGTGAAGAAAAATAAAGGACTATAAGCTTAAATGACAGATATTGTCTTTTTATCACTCGTGTCTTAATCTCCTTACTCCTTAAATCCCATTCCAGTCCTTGTATTTTGTGTTACAAAGCTGTTTAATAACCCACACACTCCATCATCATCTTCAACATCTCACGTGGCCCTGATCTCTCTTCTGCTGCTTTTAATTACATTTTGTCTTCTCTTTCTCATAGCCCTCACCGTATACTTTCTTAACTCCCTACTCCTGTCAAGGCTGGAGTTGTAAGCAAGAATTATAAACATTGTGCTTACATAATCTTTGTCATCCTTGAAATATTTTTTACTTTTCTACTCCAACTTGCTGAAATGAGTCGCCATCGAACTATAAATGATCATTTTTAACAAGGATGAGGCTGCCAGGCGGCATAATGTACTACGCTCCCAAACCGCCCGGCGTACAATCTAAACCGTCCAGAGGTAAACGCTGGTCGCCTCAATTATAAAATGACTGTTTTTCTACAATCAAAATATTTCCATAATTAAATGGAAGAACAAATGATAAATTAGCTCACATTTTTATAAAATAATTTGCATCATTTACATATTCGTTGATATATTCATATCACACACAGTTTGCTGCATTTGTCTGAATGAAACATCTGCTTGTCTACTATATGTAGCTGCAGATGAATGAGTTTACTTTTGCAGTTGATTGATAATTGTGTCGAAAGATGAAGATTATTACAATATGAGTTGCTAGCTGACTCCCTTTTTTCATGTCTACAGGCCATGCTTTGCTCAGCCAGCAGTTTTTAATGGTGTTTTTTAGCCAGATGAAGTGAAACTCCCCTCAGAAAGGAGGGAAGGAATGTTTGGATTACTTTTGTGGCAGCAGGCAGTCAGAATGGATGGGGGCTCCACTCTGCGGTCGTGAGCTTGCAGTGAGGCAATCTAATTGCGCTGCAGGACTGCGACTCTGGCGTCCTCAAGCCACTAGGGTCCCGCAGCGAGGCTGTGAGCGGGAGCTGCCAAATGGCAAATGCAACTTGTGAGAATACCTATAATAGACTTGGATTGCAAAGTCACAGAGCTCAGTGCAGTGGAGCAAGATTGTACTTGGAGGTGTTATTGGTCAAATCATGGTGAAGAGCAATTTCTTTGTGTTTACTTGCTAAAAAGTTGCTCTCATCTATATTTTATTATTATTTGGTTTTATTAACAATTTCTCAGATTATAACATGTAATGTGAAATGGGTGGCCTGGGGAGAAAAGAGTCTTCAGCTCTACGAAGCATTTTAGGGCATTTTAGGTCACTGTCAGCTAAAAGAAGAGGGAATATTGGAGTTTTTAAACATTCATCAGGTGGCCAGAAACTCCAAATGAATGCAAATGTTGCTCTGTGTCTTGCTTGATTTGTAAATAAGCCACAGCTTGCTAACATATTAGCCATATCAACTCCATGAGGTGATAATGTGTCAGTGTTGTGATTGCAGCTTGCTGCGCTGCCTCCAAAGAACTCGCATTGATGAAAAGTGAAAGCTAATTGGTCGCCTCTTGGACTGAAGGCGACTACAGTATATTAAAGGACCTCAGTAAAACTAAATTATTTCTATTTCATTGTTTAAGTGTTTGTACTGGAAAGTTGACTTACCTAAAATAAGATCCTCTGATTTACAGATGTCTATACATTCATGGCCACAGTCCAAAATGGTGGCAGTGCTACCGACACTCTATCTAGTGGTGGTTGTCAAAAAAAAATACCAGAGTTTTGTGTCTTTACTTCTCTAATCCTTAGCTGCCCCCACGAGGCCTAAATGTCAATTAATGCAGCTTTAAGGAGGAAAGCTAAAGTAGAAAAGGAAGAGGCTGGTTGGGGTGAGAGTCAATATTTTTTAATGATGTTTCATATGCTTAATTTAAAAAACATTTTCAAGGATTAAAACACATAGATCCGCACACTAAATAGCTCCCGTTAAAGGATTTACTTGCAGCAGTGTTTCGAGCACTTATCTGTTTTAATCCTGTTAGATATTCAGCACAGTTTCCCTCAATGCCGTATTGTGTAGCTAACAAAATACGTCTGCATGCAATTCAAAATATCGAGTATAAGAGCGAGTCTCCAAGAGGTTTGATTTGCAATGTCCCTGCTGTTTGCCTTTCCACAGATCCACACTGGCAGATGACAGTGACATGTTGAACATAGTGGTTTTCATAACACTGTGTTGGCTCTCTCTCTGCAGACTGCTATGGACCAGCTCCACATGCACTTCACCCAGGCCATCCACAACACGGTGTTCCAAGTGGTGCTGGGATATGTGGAGCTATGTGCCGGCAACGCCGATACCAAGTTCCAGAAGATGCAGTACAAGGACCTGTGCACGGTAAGGTGTGTGTGTGTGTGTGTGTGTGTGTGTGTGTGTGTGTGTGTGT